TCCTGTTTCTTATCTCGTAGGAGTCTAACGAATGCTTACAGACTTGATACATACTGAGTGAGGATTACGCTTAGACACTTAGGAATGAGGAAGAGTTTTGCCTGGTGATGTAAAGTGATGTTGCATGCAGGCCCACCTTGCATTTATCAGTTCCGCAAATAGCCAAATGAAAAGTTCAGTATCTGTGCAAGAGTACAAATAATTTTTGGAAAGAAACTGTATATACGATTGAAATTTTAATGTTTAACTATATAGCAATTCAAAGTATAGATTTTTCTATTAAAGTTACCAAAAATGCTAGCTTAAACCTAGTAGGTCTAGTAAACAACTTGGAATTCTACCAATTAATGTTATGAGAATTAAGACATACCCTTCAAATAGTATATTTTGAAGATATTAAGAGTCTGCTGTTGGTCTTTGTACTGATAAAAACATATGTGCATATGATTCAATGTTTTTATTGTTGCTGTGGCTAAGCCACTGACATGAGGAAACTTAAGAGAAGAAAGGATTTTGCCTTAACCGTTTGAGAATATAGAATTGCAGAGTTTCCGTGTTAGGGACTCAGATGGAGCTCAAACCTGAATGGGTTTGTAGCGGTACTGAACTGTGTACACCTGTTTCTCATCAATGGTGATAGAGCCACAGAAAGATTCAACAAGCCAACAAGTGCCTTCATTATGTCCAAGAGTCCCTAAAATCCCATTTGGTCTGAATTTCACTAGTGTAATCAAGCCAAGAAGTGCCTTCATTATGTCCAAGAGTCCCTAAAATCCCATTTGGTCTGAATTTCACTAGTGTAAATATTATTTTGTTAGTGTAAAACTACTTTCTATTAATAACTTACTTTGGTCAGGCATTTGGGAGTCACAGAATTGTGTCTTTTTGTTTTCATTTAAAGCAAAAAAAAAATAGTAAAGTTAAAATTCTGAGAAATTTTAGGTTAAAAAACCTGGAAGTTCAAGTAAAAATGGGTTCTTTCCTTCACAGAACCTTAAACTTTTTTTTAAAGAAAATAATAATTGTTATTATTCATTAGTTTCCCCTCCCCCTTTCTTCCCAGTTCCTTGCCTCCACCTCCTCTCTGCCTGTCTCCTCCCTCCACTTCTCCTCTATTTCCCTTCAGAAAAGAACTGGCCTCCCATGGATAGCCACCAAAACATGACATATCATGTTGAAGTGAGACTAGATACCTCCCATCATATTAAGGCTAAATGAGTCAACCCAGTATGAGGGAAAGGGTCTCAGAAGCAGGCAAAACTGTTAGAAATCCCACAAGAAAACCAAGCTGCATAAGTTTAACATATATACAGACTTAGACCAGACTCCTTCAGGCTCCCCAGTTATCCGTTCAGGCCCTATGAGCCCTTATAAGCCAGGTTTGATGGCTCTCTGGCTTTTCTTGTGTCCCTGACACCTCCCCCCTTATAATCTTTCCTCCCATCAGGACTCCCCTAACTCTGCCTAATGCTTGGCTGTGGGTCTCTGCATCTGCTTCCATTAGAACCTTAATTTTTTTTAATGTGTCAGAATTGGGATGACTGCTTTCATTAGATACTGGGATGTTCTTCCTAGGAAAAGGATTGAGTTTTGTCTTTAAAGTGTTCTTCACTCTAGGTATAATTGAGACTGCCTACACTTAATTAATTAAATGTCATAACTCCAATATAATTATTTTATGATAATTATATTAGCTGTCTTATGTCTTAATCACTATGCCATTTTTCAACATTGCTGATAATCTTAAATCTATGATATTTGATTCACGGACCATATATAATTCTCTACAATTTCTGGTAGAAAATAAAATATTTTCTAAATAGTCTTTTCTTAACATGGTAATTTCATTGTCATTATGTAGCATATAGAACCTAATTCTAAAGTTCATTATGGCTATTGATTGATTGCAATAAGAGAAACATATCAATAATTACTAAAAATTCATCATATTCACATTTGAAATTGCATGGCCTTTGAGAAACTTCCCAACCATTCTGTGGCTATATTGAGTAAAATATACAATTTTAACTTTTCTACTATCTAAAAGTAAAATATAAAATATTATAGATATCTGAGAAATAACAGAAAATCCACCTAATATTTGAATACTTTCATTTGTTTATTAATCATATGAACATATGCTATTATGTAGTTTGAATAGCATAGTTTAGAGAATCTGTGTTATTTTTTTGTTGTTTTTAACATGTCAACAGAAATGTTTAGTATATACAGATACATTCCAAAGTACTCTGGGTAGTCCATAACTTTGACATTAAACTGTTTCTTTTTACAATGTGTTACTTGCCTGGTTAGCTCAGATGATTGGACCACAGGACATAGCTGATGTAGGTTGTGGTTTCAATTTCTACGTAGGCCAGTTACCCTTGCTCTGTTTTGCTGACACATGAATAGTGTAAGTGACTTAGAAAGAAAATATGAATACATTACTGTGAGCTTATTCTCTCAGTAGGCAAAAAAAAAAAAAAACCCAAACAAATAAAATAACAACAGAAGCCTAAGACCAGCATTTCTAGCAATCTGACATTAGTGTTGAGGTAAAAAGAATGAGGAAATCTGGCCCTCTAAATGAAAAGCTGGGGTGCTAAGGAGCCGTCCTCTCCACGGTGCTGTATAATGACCTGCCTTTTCTTTTTATAGTTACAGTTGAGGGGCTCCAGCTGATAACCTGCCTGAAATTATTGCAGGCCTGGTGGGAGGCATCTGAGGAGAACAGTCATGTTTTCACTTGACGAGGAAACCATTAGCAAATCACTGCTGTTCTGTAAATTACTGCGGTGCTTAAGGTTCAGACAGAGAAACGACTTTCTTTTTTCATAAAAATTGCAGGCGAAAGGGCTCTCACAGTAACAAACTTGTATTTAAAACATAGTCACTCCTACAGTTCAAAGACGGGGAGACAGCAGTTCTCAGGTGGAAACCAAATAAATGTTCTTTCATTACTAAAACAATGGATGCGCTCTGGGAAGGTCAGCTCCATGCCTAGCTAGCCTTCTCCAAAAAGCAATGGGATAATGGAACACAGAACTGACTCCTTTCTTTTCAATTGCATTAGATGGAAAAGGCAGAGGCAGGACAAAAACAACTCCTTAGAAAGTGATGGACACTCAGCTGCCTGACCATAAGGGAGGACTTGGAAACACAGTGACCAATCTTCATCTAGTCCACTTACTAGGCCAATCTCCTCTGACTTAAATGAGTCTGCTAATAAACAATTAATAAACTAATAAACAACTAATAAACTTCAAGGTAGCTGAATTTCACATCACTGGACTTCAATGGCAAAATACTAGGAAACTTGAAAGTTGTATCAAACATTTGCCAGGAGAATATTATTTATATATTATATTATATTGTCTATTGAGATTACATATCAGGAATAATTTATTCTGGAGGATGGGATAAATGTGGTTTTGTGGTTTGAAAATAAAATCCTCCAGGAAAGGATAAAAGGAGCTGGTGTGTTCCTCTTTGGAGACAAGTAGACCATGAAGTGGTTTCAGCTTTTCTCAACAAGTACTTATCATGTAACTACAGAATTAGAAAATATGGTAATCATCTATTTTCTCAATTCATCTATAAGTGTAACGCGTAACTACCATTCTGATACATGAAAGGGAACTTAGTTCTGTACATTCCCTACATAGAGGTGTACCCAAAGTCACCAGGGCTCAGTTCTTGTGTCTGCCAGAGGTTAGTGAGGGTAGACAAGGTAGATAAGGTAGATGGCAGAGTATAAACCAACATGGTCAAGATGAAACCTAGACAGTGCTCTTGAAAAAACAAAACATGACATGTGAGATAGACAGATTCCTAAAAAGGACTCAATTAGCACTAGATGAAGCCATTGAAAACTGAAGCTTTGCTTTGTTTTCTTCTGATTGGAACTGGGTAAACGCAGGACAATGTGATTAAGAATTTAAGGCACAGTTCTGACCTCCACTACAAATCCATGTGCTTGGTTGTCCATTCCATTGTGAGTGAAGTGAGTTGAGACGTGACAAATACCAGCTCCTAGGTGAGAACAGAGGACATGCCAGTGTTGTCTGAGCTAAGAGATGACAACTAGAGATTCAATCTCTGTCTGGAGAACTTGGCTCGATGCACCAAAATACTTATCTCTGCTATCAAAGAGGACAAACGTCCCATTGACAAAGAGCAGGCTGATGATGAAGTACCCCAGAAAGAGTCACAGTATAAAAAGTTGCCTTGGTTTTGTAGAGATACGTTTAGTTCAAGTTCTAATAGTCGTTATTTTAAAATGTAATATGGGTTTTTTGTATGTAAAAGTGATTTAGTGAATCAATCATGAAATAAACTATTGTAAGAATTACAAAGATGCATAAGACACACTAAAGTTTCATAAAGTAGTTCTAAAAAATTTTGAATTTTATATTCCAAAAGCTGCCTCTTTTCCTTATGTTTATTTTTATGTTGAATGCAGATGCAGGACAATTTTTGAATATTTCAGATAGTATTAGCTAAATTCTAAGTATTTGAAGGCCTGCTGTACAGTTACTCACAGTGAGTAATCTTTTAGTTACATATCCACATATTCATAAGTTCAGAACTGTTCATCAAAGTCACTTAAATTACACTTCAAACTACATATGACTTTTCTAATGATCCTTTAAGGAATATTTGGACCAGGTGTCTGTCATACTGTGGATACAATCTGCTTTCTTTGGCAACATACTATTAATGTAAAGGGAGAGTCCATATTGGACTTTGCTCATATAGGCAGTTAACATGAATAACATATAACTAAAAGTGAAGGATGATGAGCAGTCGCTGATGTCCAAGAGTTTGAATATCTGAGTGTACCGATCTTATTTAACAAATTAATGGGTATTTCATTCACAGGGGTTTCCATTGTAATAAAGGCAAGATTGGAATAACTTAAGTAGGATAATATTTGAAGGTGACAGTCATATAAAAGTTGTCATGGCACTTCCTAACCAGGGCACCTTTTCCATTTACAGCTTCTGCAGAGCACGAAAAGGAACCTGTGCCTCTGTCCTCAAACCCAGACATCATAAGGGAATCGCAGGTAGATGACTGCCCGAGGGACTCTGGCTGTTACATCTCATCAGGAAACTCAGATAATGGTAAAGAAGATCTGGAGTCAGAAAACCTGCCTGTCATGATACAGAAGATTGCCATTAGAGAGCCCAGTGACTGAACACACACTCGCATGTCCACACTCACAGCTGAATTCCATTTGAACTCTTTGTCTGTTACAGGATTAAATGGAAGGGTTCCAAATGCATCCTAAAAAGCAGAGTGTTGACTGCTCTGAATGACTGTACCTGCAAATTTATATCTCTCACTTACCAATGAGTGTGCATAAAGTATATATTTATTAAATACTATGTGTTAATGTTTACCTGCCCATATTAGAAAAAAGATATAATGCAAGCCCATGTGTGGTATGTACTGTATTTACCTCTATTTCATAAGTGTAAAAAATGTAGACATGGAGACCATGTACTAATATATATATATATTATTGAATATGTTCTAGAAGGAGTTTAAGCTGAAGTAATTTCTACAGGTAGAATATATACTCATTTTTTAATTACTAGGAAAATGGAGACTGAGTTTAGAGACTATTGTATTCAAAGATTGAGTTTTAGTAAGAATTTTCTGTTTGTCTCTTCACTCTGTTATCTGATATAAATATATAGTTAACAATATACTGCCTGTTTTGGTCTAGTAAACATAGTTGTAGAGGTATTTTATCTTTGTATGTAAATATTTTTAAAATTTCCTATACCCTAATAATAATAATAAAATAAACTATGTACATATTATATCCGCTAGACTAAAGTTATTTGAAGTATTTTCATATAATTTAAAGGAAGTTTCTATTAGACCATGCTGTATAGTCAGTCCTAGGTAGGACGGTGTAGCGATTCCCAAAGCATCTTCTAACTCCAGATCCGTGTTACTGAACTTCCTGAATACTCCCGACTTCAGCTTGATGTGCCAAAACCTTTCATTTTACCCATAAAATTACCTCTCATTTTATTTCTACTCCACCTTTTTTTTTTTTCAGAAACAAGGAGCTACTCAGTGAAATAGAAAGTTATTTTGCTCTTTGCTCTGCATGTGTCTTCCTCAGACAAATTCACTAATGAAGTCCTGTAGATGCTACCTCTAGAAAGTCTTGATATTCATGACATCCCATTCAGACCCAGGGCTTCCATCACTGTTTAGACTCTGATGTGGAATGTTGCAACAACAATCCCACCTTCAAGTTCATCCCCACATAATCTCTAGAAAAATCTTTAGGAGACTGATAAAATCATTCCACTTGCTTGAAGCATTTGATGGCCTCTCATTAATTTTAGCATAACATGTAAATGTACATAATTTTTTTGCCAAGTACTTTTAACCTTTCTGGTGAGTCCTCTCTCTGACCCGATCTTTCAGTGCACAATCCGACCACACCAATCTACTAACAGGCTTCCAAATTCACTATTCCTTCAATGAATCTCTATGTACTAGGTATTTTTCCAGTACCTATCCTGGCATTTTGTTTCAGTTGAATCGTCCCTCTCCTCTGTCTGGAAACTACCATAAAACATTTGCTTGACCTGTCAAAGTTTTGTGAACCCCTTCTGTGTTTTCTTTTCTCTTTCTATATTGCTGGTTACAGAAATTCTCTATTTATTTACATGACAGCTAGTTTTACACAACACCATGATTGCCTCGTGACAGAATTTATTTTCATAGGCTTTAAATTCCCAGTATGCAGCCAAACTTATTACTGAAGGAATGTTTAGAAAAGAGATGCTATTGAGCATGACAATTAATTTTCCACATAAAACTGGAATATTGTCTTTTATATAGGTTAGTAAGTCACTCTTAACCACCTATAGGTGAATGCTTCCAAGTTATCTAGAAGTTTTTAAAGGAAATGTGGAGTTGGAGAGATGGCTCAATGTTTAACAGTGCTTGCTCCTCAGTCATGAGATGTAGAGATTGGACCAGGGCAAGCAAGTGAGGTAGTGAGGTGGCTCTCAAACATTCGTAACTCCAGCTCCAAGGGAGCAGATACTCTATTCTGGCCTCTATGGATACCCTCACACAGACAGGCTCATACAGTTAAATACACACAAACACACACACACACACACACACACACACACACACACAAACACACATATCTTTAAAATGAAATAAATAAAAGGTAATAAAACTCAGGCAAGGTAAAATATTCTGAATGCTGAGGACAACACAATAGTTCAAGTCTCTGGCATCTTTAACACACCTAATCTCACCAACATCACTCCATCAAGTGTGATACACATGCATACCTCCTTTTCCTTCCCAGCAAAGCGGACATTTTCCTGATTATGGTGACCACTCTTAGTAGACTTGTATAGAAACTGTTCTTGGATGCAGAAGAGGTACTAACATCATTAATTTTTAAACTGTTCTGCCCCTTCTCCCCAGGTTATACAAGAGAATGTACTTCTCTTTTATGGCGATTCAAGGAAACGCTAGATTGGAAAGTAACTATGGAATAATAAAGCAATGCCAGTCTCCTAATGAGTTAAACTTTTCCCAATTTCTATCTTTGAAAATGAAAGGTTCATGCTAGTTGATGATTTAGAGATATCTTAAAGAGGCTTTGGGAGACAATAGCAAAGAATGTCTGAGGTCTTACTAAAGGGAGAAGAGAGAGAAGTTAAAAATAATACAAAACAAAAAAAACAAAAAAAGAGCAAACCAAAATTAAACAAAAAAAAAAACCAAAAAACAAACAAACAAACAAACCAAAAAAAACAAAAAACAAAAACCAAAACCAAGAAGTGTATGTAGTCAGGAGAAAGAGCTGATGAGGGTATATCTATAGGCATCAGTCTGAAAAATGCCAAAGAAATAAAATCAGGAGAAGGAAAGCAGATTCTCACCTATTGCTCATACACAAAGCTCTGACTGGAGCAATGCAGAAAAGCAAGAAAGACCTCACCTAAAGCCAATGACCCACAGGAACTCTATCTCCTGCTGGTTTTTCTAGAAGACAGTCTGAACCCTTTAAGAACAGGTTAGAAGAGAGTCAGAAAGTCATGAAGTTAATATTCACAGAATATTCTTATTGGCTCTGTAGGTTTAAACCTGGCAAGATACCCAATCACATTCATTATTTAGACTTCTTCAATAAAGGTCTTTTGGACCAAAGAATGTGCATTAGGAAAAAAATAGAATCTACCTGTTTGAACTAGTAGTTCACAGGTAGCTTTATACAATTGTAAAACCTCTCTAGTATGCAGTGGTTAACTTATCCCAGAGGTTTCCAATATTAGTAAATTTAGCTATGACAGTAGATAAGGTTAGAGAAATTTTATTCCCACTAAACAAATAAAATGTTCTAATATAAAAGCAATAATCAATACTTCTGATTGAATCTTATTGCCATGGACACATAAGGCAAGAACTGTATCACTTCCTGCCCCCTTTTGTCTCTCTGTCTCTCTGTGTCCCTCCCTCTCTCCCTCCCTCTCTCCCTCTCTCTCTCTCCCCCCTTTCCCTCTCTCTCCCCCCCTCTCTCCTGCCCTCTCAGTGTGTCTTTCTCTCTGTTTATGACTTTCTTCTTTCTTTCTTCTTCATTTCTTTCTTTCTTTCTTTCTTTCTTTCTTTCTTTCTTTCTTTCTTTCTTTCTACATGAGGTTTAGAGTGGCCTTATTCTTTGTGGTCCTCCTTCCCCAGCCTACTGAGTTACTGAAATTACAGGCCTGCACCATCAAATCCAGTTCAGCTTTTTGTTTGTTTGTTTGTTTGTTTTTGATAAATACAAAATTCAGACCATTTTACTTCTGGTTTTCCATTTATTCTATAACTGATATGTATAAGTCTGAACAGTATCTTTAACTAAAATATGTTGTCAATGGATTTTTATTTTTTAACCAGATTGCTAAGGGAGATAAGTGGAAAAAAACTAAAAAGAGAGTGATTGGTAGCTGACTATTAAGTTTCAGTCAAGTTCCATTTCACTGAGGTTATAGCCACGTGTTTTGAAACTTCCTGAGTGTGGCGAAATTGATGACATTTAATGTTGAGAAATTTCCGCTGTACGCGTTAAGTTCTGAGAACAAAATATGATGACATTTTAGATAGTCCCTCCTCTTGCACAGCACTGCTCCATACTGCCACCAAAAGACTTCCTATCTAGGTAGCATCGAGGTTTCAAATACCCTTGATAGAGGGAGCGGCCCTACTAAGTTTATTAAAAGGTTCAGAGATAAGTCAATATAATCTAAATAGAGGTTAACTTGGATAGATGTTTGATCTGTTGGAATCAAATCAAAGTAATCCTGATTTTGTTCTATCCCCATTTAATTTCTGAATTCCTCTGTGCATTCTTTGTGTATGTATACCTATAAACTAAAGGCTATGGAGTTGAATCATCTGCTTTCGAGAATTGTGTGATCATACTCAGGCATTTGTCACAAAAGGTGACTCTTTTTCATTTAAAAATGGTATAAATTATAGAATGTATATATGACATACTCAACACAATCCAGGTAGTATGTGTATGAAAGCCACCACAATTTTATATCCACAACTTAATTTCCTCCTACTTACGTTTAGCCGTAAGAGGGAAGCAGTACTCACTGCATAATCATACAGGTATTTACTTATGGTATATTGAAAATTTTCAAACATAAATGGCCTGAGATCTAAAGAATAACTTTACTGGCTGGAAGCAATGAATGAGTGCCAGCTCATAGAAAACTCAGCTCATGTGTCACATAACACATTATTTCATTGTTTGCACCTGATCAGTTCAGGAAGACACTATACTGCACATAGCATTGGATCTATACTCTTGGATATGAAAGGAATAATTATTTTTAATTATATATTAAATATATAAATTACTGTTTACCTTCACGAATGAAAAATTTGGGATTGTTATTGTCATGGGCCTTGGTTTCTCATAAATTATAGAGTCTCAGTTGATTTGAGGTACAGGCAACAGAGAAACCCTTAGGAAGGCTGTGTAAATGTAAGTATTTACATATATATGGAGCCTATGCACGATTAGGTAGAAGATTCCATGGGCCATTGAAATGCTAACATATTACAAAGAATGGATATGGGCTTTCCAACACTCCCCTTCCACATCTGCATCATGAAAACTACTCACGTGTCCAATACAATACTTATCTGTGTTCTGTACTATATTTTACAAATGTAAAAACTATAAAGGAACGAAATCTGGTTTTAGTAGATTCTGTGATATTTTTGACCTGCTGGGATCCCAAGTGAGCCCAAGAGCAGAATACTGTTCCCTCATCGGGCAGGAGTAGAATAGTGATGCACATGGCTAAGAGGATCCTTTTCTCTTTAAGTTCATGGGCACCAGGCCAATAAAATGAGGAGGAACCCTGCCCAGCTTTTGCAGAAGAAGATGGGGTGAAAAACCACTTCTGGCATACTTTGTCCGTATAAATTATACTTGTTTGCAATTCATCAAGTCATTCGCTCTTTTATATCCATATGTAATGTAAAGGATCATCTTTCTCTGAAGCTCAATAATGATGCACAACTCAAAATGTGGTAGAATCAGCTAAAAGAAAGCAGATGGAAGGCTTTTCCCTGTTATACATATTCATAAAAATATAGAGAACTCAACAAAAGGAGATACATAAGAGCTCGTACCCGACGGCTACATGGACTCATGCACAGCATTAACTTTGTTTTCTGCAACTGTTTTTCAAACCTTTACTCATTTCTTCCTGAAGCATTCACTGAAAATGCCCTGGGGGGAAAATCTGCCTCGCTATACAGAAACAAACAT